TTTTCTCATTATATATAATGTATCTATAAACTAAATCTAATTTGCATATTAATGTGTTTTTGGGGCAACATGTAATGAAAAAAGAAGTTTAATAATGGGAGTAATATTTGACAAGATTTTCATAATAATATATAATATTTCATAGGAATATTGAAATATATTTTCTTTCCCGATTCATTTGTTGTGTCTCCCAAAATGCTAATAAACATGCTTTTAGTCCTGGTGTCCTCATATGAGGACATGTATGAAATCAACGTCCTGTTTCGTAACAGAAAGTCATATTTTGATTTGAAACCCCTTAACATTTTCCTGAGATGTTGATTTATGACAGGCAGTTTAAAAATTACAGATTTAAATGATAATTACAAAATATTATCATATTTCCATAAGAGTGTCACTAAATTAATATCAGACATATTTGAAGACCAAGGAGAGGGAGTGGTCATAGTGAAACATCCAAACATTTAGTATCTCTGAAAAGCCCTGAATGTGCTCTGTACAGGACATCCAGACTTAAAACTGTGGCATGTACACTCTAAAAAATGCTGGGTTAAATACAACCCAGTGCTGGGTAAAATAGGGACGAACCCAGCAATTGGGTTGTTTTGACCCAGCGGTTGGGTTACTACCCAGAAGGTTGGGTAAACATTTAACCCAACCGCTGGGTCAAAACAGCCCAATTGCTGGGTTTGTCCCTATTTCACCCAGTGCTGGGTTGTATTTAGCCCAGCATTTTTTAGAGTGCATAGTCTCAGAGAAATACACCAAAATAGAATGTCCTCATATGAGGTCACAGGGTCTCAGGAGGTTAATGATGGATTTCACAAATCGTTAATTGATGGACTGGAGTGGTGTGGATTAATTGTGGATTATTGTGATTTTTTTATCAGCTGTTTGGACTCTCATTCTGACGGCACCCATTCACTGCAGTGGATCCATTGGTGAGCAAAACATGTAATACTTTTTATTGTCTTATGAACATGCAGCTTTTCACTTCACAAGACATTAACTGATGGACTGGAGTGGTGTGGATTACTTGTGGATTATTGTGATGTTTTTATCAGCTGTTTGGACTCTCATTCTGACGGCACACATTCACTGCAGAGGATCCATTGCTGAGCAAGTGATGCAACTATGAATTTCTCCAAATCTGTTATGATGAGGAAACACACTCATCTACATCTTGGATTGCCGGATGGTGAGTAAACTTTCATTTTTGGGTGAACTATTCCTTTCAAATTATATTTTCACATGTTTATTATTATTATTATTTTTGTAATGTGTGACAACTGATGTTAAATGTTTGATGTTTTCTATTTCTTTCTTTTTCTTTTTACAGATTTTCATATAGTGTCTTTTGGTGATTTGTAGGGGTCAATTTGAACCTAGTTAAACTGGATTTTGAATGGCTACTGATCAAGTTTTTGTGCTAAAATTCTATACACACAAGTACGCACAACTATTTAGTACAATGATAGCATTTACAGAGGAAGACAAGAAAAATGGACCATCCAGGACCGCAGGACACATATAGTACATCACAGCACACTACATCAAAGTGCATCAAGTGTCCCTCTGGGAACAGCATGACCTCCGCTGGCGGCCGTTAAACAATAACGTTCCATCTTGTCTGACATTTTTGTCCCAGTGGGCCCCGTCCTCACCGCTGTCGTTTCCTACCTGTCCTCCTTTATCACATCCACGAAGTGAGCGTCGCTCCTTTCGCGGAAGTTTTTGGAGCGCAGTGGGATGAGGGCGGAGTGATCCATGGTTCCCATGCTGCAGATGCCTCCTCCTCCGGGCCACTTCTTCTCCTTCTCCTGCAGCATCTCGCACAGAGAGGTCTGGCTGTGTGTCAGCGGCTGCTCCAGATGAGGGCTTAACAGGCCATTAAGGGTCTTGGGACTCCTGCCAGGCGGTCCCTGAAGAAGATTTAGACGGAAGATACAAACAATGAGAGAACTGCAGAACAATGTTGTAATAAAAAGGCATTTCAATATATAAGACGCTCTCAAATAAGACCTCTCTAGATGACAATTAAGTCCGGACATTTAATTTTATTTGATTGATTGGTTTATTTTTTTCTTTAATCTTCTTTATTCTCAATGGTAATTCTTTAAAGCAGCACTATGTAACTTTTGGCGCTCTAGCGGTTAATAAACAGAACTGCACACATCCCGCGGAAGAACATTCCAACCGGAGCTACTTCTCTAAGTTTATGTCTATAGCGATTCACGCAGGTATGTGTTACTCCGCAGCGGTGACGACCCGACCAGGCTACAATAGTCCAAATATAAGTACTTATTATAAGTGTACCGTAGTGATTCGGAATAAGACAAAAACGTGGTTTGGAAGATGAATTCATGATGTACTCGCTCATTATATACATTTAGCAAATTTTGAACACAGAAAAAGTTACATAGTGCTGCTTTAACATACGAAAAAGTTACTATATACAATTACGATGCACTCTACTAAGGAAGAAATGAATACTTTTATCCAGCAAAGATTAATTAAATTGATCAAAAGTGACATAAAAGACATTTATAATGTTACAAAAAAGTTATATTTCAAATAAATGCTGTTCTTTTGAACTTTCCGTTCCTCACAGAATCCTGAAAAAAATTTTCCACAAAAATACCACAACTGTTTTTAACATTGATAATGAGAAATGTTTCTTGAGCAGCAAATCAGCAAATTAAGAGTGATTTCTGAAGGATTATGTGACACTGAAAACTGGAGTAATGATGCTGAAAATTCAGCTTTGCTTCATAGGAATACATTTTAATTAGTGCTGTCAAACGATTAATCGCGATTAATCGCATCCAAAATAAAAGTTTTTGTTTACATAATATGTGTCACAAAACGCTGCTGGAAGGAACGAAGGAGCCGTGGATAAACGAAACTGTCCTTTATTAAATCGAACACACAGGGTAAATCCACACTTGGGAGGGAAGGAAGACACACGTACACAACTGGTAGACCCGAATAAACACAGACTGAACAGACTGGGGCTTAAATATACAGGATAAAGATTGGGAGGAACACAGGTAAACAGAATGACTAATTAGACACAACAAGGACAGGAACAGGAACGACCAAATAAGGCCACATGAGGGAGAAACTGGGTCACGGGGAGCACATGGGGAGCAAAACACAACAAAGACAGTCCAATCCTGACAATATGAGTGTGTACTGTGTATATTTATTATGTATATATAAATAAAAACACATGCATGTATACATTTAAGAAAAATATGTTATGTTTATATATTAAATATATATAATATAAAATATAATAATATAAATATATAAATGCACATACATATAAATATTTTGTAAATGCATACTGAATGTGTGTGTATTTATATATACATAATAAATAAACACAGTACACATAAATATATTATGTAAACAAAAACTTTTATTTTGGATGCGATTAATCGCTTGACAGCACTAATTTTAATACATATTCACATTTAAAACAGTTATTTTAAATTATAATAACGCAAATCAGCAAATTAAGAGTGATTTCTGAAGGATTATGTGACACTGAAAACTGGAGTAATGATGCTGAAAATTCAGCTTTGCTTCATAGGAATACATTTTAATTAGTGCTGTCAAACGATTAATCGCGATTAATCGCATCCAAAATAAAAGTTTTTGTTTACATAATATGTGTCACAAAACGCTGCTGGAAGGAACGAAGGAGCCGTGGATAAACGAAACTGTCCTTTATTAAATCGAACACACAGGGTAAATCCACACTTGGGAGGGAAGGAAGACACACGTACACAACTGGTAGACCCGAATAAACACAGACTGAACAGACTGGGGCTTAAATATACAGGATAAAGATTGGGAGGAACACAGGTAAACAGAATGACTAATTAGACACAACAAGGACAGGAACAGGAACGACCAAATAAGGCCACATGAGGGAGAAACTGGGTCACGGGGAGCACATGGGGAGCAAAACACAACAAAGACAGTCCAATCCTGACAATATGAGTGTGTACTGTGTATATCTATTATGTATATATAAATAAAAACACATGCATGTATACATTTAAGAAAAATATGTTATGTTTATATATTAAATATATATAATATAAAATATAATAATATAAATATATAAATGCACATACATATAAATATTTTGTAAATGCATACTGAATGTGTGTGTATTTATATATACATAATAAATAAACACAGTACACATAAATATATTATGTAAACAAAAACTTTTATTTTGGATGCGATTAATCGCTTGACAGCACTAATTTTAATACATATTCACATTTAAAACAGTTATTTTAAATTATAATAACATTTCACAATTTTACTGTTTTTACTGTATTTTTAATCAAATAAATGAGGTGAGCATTAGAGACTTCTTAGACAATCCTTTAAAAGAATCGAATAGTAAAAAAGAAAAGGGAAATATATTTTTTAAAAATATATCATTCTTTTTATCATGGAGTAAGATTTTTGATTTACAGGGAAAATGTTACAAAAATAATAATGTCACAATGGGAAAAGTCTTAAAGGGGTCATATGATGCTGCTAAAAAGAACATTATTTTGTGTATTTGGTGTAATGAAATGTGTTTATGCGGTTTAAAGTAAAAAAAACACATTATTTTCCACATACTGTACATTATTGTTTCTCCTCTATGCCCCGAGCCGTTTTAGGCAGGCGTGGTTGACTCTTAACTTTTATAAAGAATATCTCTTTGGATTTGAGACTTTAGTCTTTGCAAATTTACAGATCTTCTTTATGCACCAAGAGCTTGTAACACTCCAAAGAGAAAGGAAAAAATGAAATCGCATCATATGACCCCTTTAATGGTCCTAAAACGTAAGCAAAATACATATAATACTAAATCACATTTCACCATACAGAAATCAGGATTGTACACCTCAAAGAATAGCACACCTCCACACTTATGCAGTGCATATTCTGTGCAGAGTATGCAAATCTTTCGTACGCGAGAGGACCGAGACAACTTGACATTTGCTGAAATGTGCAGCATAAAACCACAGCAAACTGCATTCATTACTTCAATGCACAGTGGCTTAAAACTTCCATTTCCAATGTGATGAATGAACTGAACATTTTTTTGATTTTTCATTTCATTCCACATTTATTTGTACAGTGCTTTTCACCATGCATATCATTTCAGAGCAGCTTTACAGGAAATGCATGTTTCAAATGTTCCACTCAAGTAAAAAATAGTGTATATTTTATTGACGCATTATTTATTAAACTGTGAAAATGTATTGTTTACAAAAAAGTATTGCAATGCAAAACAACAATTTTTATGTCTGAGATGGTGACTGGATGACACTCGCTGAATTAAAAATGCACAGTGTATAATAGGCCTATAATGAGATTATGTAGCAGGAATGTCTATTGTTTGAAATGTTTACAGTTACATAGCTTCACAAAATAATTATAAAAAAAAACACTAAACCGTATATACAGTATCCTATTATTCCTGTTAATGAATATTATAACCAATAGGTGGCGCTATCCGGTAGATTTGTAATGAAGCACTGCTCTATCTAATCAACATAGCAGGAAATTTGTATTAAATAAGGCATTGTGGAAAAAAAGAGCTTTTACATTATTTATTGAAACTCCCTTGTATTTTCTAAGTTGCACCAACCAAAGCAGTTTAGATAAGGTATAGCCTATAGGTATACTGTAATATTCTGGATTTTCTCATTCTACTCACTGAGATCAGGTATGAGACACTCACCTTGCTGTTGACGGTTTTGTGATCAGGATCTGAGCAGCTGTTGCTGTGAACCGCCCCGTCTTCAGAAGTTAACGCACCACACGAGGGACAGGCAGACTGAAGGAAGAGAAGAAGGAAATCATCAAATGGATTTATGTGCAACAGAGAGAACAGAGAGTCAAACACTTCACTTACTGTTTTAATTCAATCGAAATTAAGTTAGAAGCAATACTCCACATGGAAAGATCAGTGATGCTATACTTTGTTAACAATGTTAGTGTGCTTAGTGTTATTAGCGCATTGCTATGGCATTGCTATAAGTGGTTTCTAGGAGCTTAAGTCTAAGAATGTTTTGTTTTGAGTTCCAATTAAAGGGTTATTTCACCCAAAAATGAAAATTCTGTCATCATTTACTCACCCTAAACTTCTTCCATAGGCGGAGGGTGGACCAACTCCAGGGTAAGGCTAAAAGCAGCCAAATCTATTAACTACAAACATCATAAACCCGTCTTTTTAGGCAAGAACCAGCCATGGGTGTCATGTAGGCTAATAAAATATGTTTAATGGGACTGAATTTGTATTTAACGTGATTACAATTTAATAAAAAACGTTTATACGTTTAGTATAAAACGTTGGCTTTCCTATGTTATTCAAACAGAGAATAAATTATTATACAGAAAGTGACATTATCACTAACTTTGATCTATCGCGAGTTTAAGCACTCTCAAAAAAACAAACAACTATCGTTATAATCACTTAAGCTGTTTTAGGCAAGAACCAGACATGGGTGTCATGTAGGCTAATAAAATATGTTTAATGGGACTGAATTTGTATTTAACGTGATTACAATTTAATAAAAAACGTTTATACGTTTAGTATAAAACGTTGGCTTTCCTATGTTATTCAAACAGAGAATAAATTATTATACAGAAAGTGACATTATCACTAACTTTGATCTATCGCGAGTTTAAGCACTCTCAAAAAACAAAACAAAACTATCGTTATAATCACTTAAGCTGTCTACACTGTGAAATGAATCTCTTACTTACATTGTACATACATCTGCGCGTCCAGAATTCAGTCAGCGAACGCGCGCGCACTCAAAACTGATGAGTTTGAACGATTACTCATCTGAACGCCTCTGATTGGCCATTGCATTCCTAAGCTCAACAGAATCGTGTGTGATTGGTTATAATGCGCAACACAGTAAAAACGCCTAAAATTAAATACGGTGCAACTTGAGCAGATCTTAATTTAATGCCACAATCGACACTTTCTATTCATTTTCATTTTGTTAGCAATAGTCGTAATAGATTTCATTTGTTTGTGCAGGGGCATTTTTGTTCAATTTAGTGGCAGTCTTACACGTAAAAACGCCTAAAATTAAATACGGTGCAACATGAGCAGATCTTAATTTAATGCCACAATCGACACTTTCTATTCATTTTCATTTTGTTAGCAATAGTCGTAATAGATTTCATTTGTTTGTGCAGGGGCATTTTTGTCCAATTTAGTGGCATTTTTGCCCCAAGTACCCGTGGCCAGGGGAAGGCTCCGCCTATGTTGGTAACCAAAAAGTTGATGGTAGCCATTGAATTTCATATTATGGAGAAAAAACAATATTATGGAAGTCAATGGGGACCAGCAAGTGTTCGGTTACCAACATTCTTCACACATATGAAAGAAAGAATGTTTTTGTGCTAAAGTTTTGAGAATCTTGTTTGAGACCACATAACTTTGCATACACATTCTATTAAAGGAATAGTTCAGCAATAAAAAAGGCTGAAAAAGTACTCACCCTCAGGCCATCCAATATGTAAATTAGATTGTTTTTTCATTTCTTTATCAGAACAGATTTGGAGAAATCGAGCAATGGATCCTCTGCAGTGAATGGGTGCCGTCAGAATGAGAGTCCAAACAGCTGATAAAAACACCACAATAATCCACAAGTAATCCACTCCAGTCCATCAGTTACAGTCTTGTGAAGAGAAAGGCTGTGTGTTTGTAAGAAACAAATCCATCATTAAGAAATTTTCAACTTCAAACTGTCGCTTCAGGCCAAATATGAGCCTATAATCCATAATAATGCTTCCTCCAGTGAAAAAGTTAATCTCCTGTTGTCCTCTCACATCAAAATCCACCCACATATTTGTTTAGAACTGTTTTGTATTGTTTTCGCTTGTAGGTGGTGCTTGATCTGTGCATATTTCTCGACTGATTTAGATTAGATTTTTTTTTTTTCACAGGAGAAAGCAATATTATGGATAGAGGACTCATATTTTAGCTAAAAGCATGTTAAAATGATGGATTTGTTTCTTACAAACATGCAGCTTCTCGCCTCACAAGTCATTAACTGATGAACTGGAGTGGTGTTGATTTCTTGTGGATTATTCTTGTGGTGTTTTTATCAGCTGTTTGGACTCTCCTTCTGACGGCACCCATTCACTGCAGAGGATCCATTGTTGAGCAAGTGATGTAATGATAAATGTATTCAAATCTTGAATGGCCTGATGGTAAGTAAATTTCCAGCAAATTTTTATTTCTGGGTCAACTATTCCTGGTAGAAAGTTTGTTCATAACGTTTGTTCATAATGTTGAGAGAACCTTTCCAGAATGTTAGCCAAAGTTAGTTGGGATGAAAGTGGTTTTCGACTTCTTGCTTAGAGAAAGTTTAAAGCCTAAGGGTTTGTTCAAATCTCAGCAGTAGTGATGCCAGCTTTATCAAGCAGCTCTAAAATGTGTTGTATCTGCCATTTAACATTTGCCGTTTGAATATGCAAGGGATTAAAAATCAGCAGCATTTGGCCTCAGAGATGAATAATTACTACAGACGGAGACAGACAGACTCTCGCTTTGCACAGGAGGAGCGAGCAGCGGTTCGGCTGCCCTCCCTTATCTTACTTTCCGCTATCGCTTGCAATCCAAGGTCCCATCAGTATTAAAGTGCAATGACGAGAGTATCTTTTGCAAAGGCTGCTGGGTAATGTGGCGTCCTCTGAAAGGTTGCCTGGATGAATGCATCGGGCATTCGACTGATCGATCAAATTTAAAAGGAGAGGTGGATGCATTGCACACGGCACATCATGATCTCACAGATCTGGTCTGGCCACGCTCACTTATTGACGTGCTCGTTGTGATCCCTCACGGCCTTCCGCAAATCACTGCAGTGTTTCACACAATGAATCAGCGTGGTGTGTGTTTCCAGCACAGTCTTTTTATCAGTAAATGGAATAATGCTGTTCAGAGAACAGTTGAGAGAAAGCAGCATGCACAGAGACAGATTGTGCATTAACAAAGTAAAACCCAACACAACACCTGATACACCGACTGCTTGTATTCATCATATTAATATATTCAGAAAAGTTTTTTATGAATATTAACTTATGACATTCATTGACTAAAAACAGCTCATTAGTTCCTTATAACGTGATTATGTATTATGTGATTATATAATATATATATATATATATATATATATATATACACACACACACACATACATACACACATATAGTGAACACAAATTTCAAATTTCATGCTAAATTACTTAAAAATAAAGACAAATATAACAAATGTTAAAATAAGCTACAAGATATACCTAAACAACAAGATATTTCTTTTATTATTATTTTTTTAAAATTTCATTTTAAGTCTACAGTTTCAGAAAACCTAGATATATGAGGGAATTAAAAGTTATATTTATATTTCTAAACCTGGACCAGTCATGGACAATAATTAAATCTTAAAAAGTCATGGAAGTCTGTGATAGTGAGAATACATTTTTCTAGTTTGTCAAGCTGTCAAATATTTTATTGAGTAGAAATTGCTGATTTTAAAACAACTAAAAAAAGTCACATAAATGTATTTTATTTTATTAATTTATATTTGCTTAAATTTAATATTTTACTTTAATTTTATAATTTTATTTTTATTTTATAATTATATATTGTATTTTAACTCATATTGCATTATGATATATGATATGATATTAAATTGTTAATTGTAAAATTAAAATAATTAATGAATAATAATTCATATTAATAATATAGAATTTATAATGATAACACATCAAACTGTATCATTATATTATATATTACATTATTAATTGTAAATATTAAAATAATGAATTAATAATAATAATAATAAGAAGAAGAAGAAGAAGAAGAAGAAGAAGAAGAAGAAGAAGAAGAAGAAGAAGAAGAAGAAGAATAATAATAATAATAATAAGAAGAAGAAGAAGAAGAAGAAGAAGAAGAAGAAGAAGAAGAACTATTGATAATGTATAATTTATAACTATAGCACATCAATAATAAGTAATAATGATAATAATTAATTTATATTTATAGAAATAAAATCAAAATGATCATTTAATTATTTTAATATAATGGCACTCCAAGTTTCTGTAAATAAAAAAGTTTATCAAAAATGAGCAGCTTTGTCATTATGGCAGAAGAATTATGTAGGACAAAGGGTTTTGGTGTGGGACTGACCTTAGCTCTGTCCGGGGCAGGGGTCAGAGCGCAGGCTGAGGATGTGATGTCAGGGCTGTGGCTGAAGGACGAGGCGCTGAGAGACTTTCTGAGCTCAGGAGCCACCAGAGCAGATGGAGGGCAGCTCCACTGGGTGTGCTTCACCTTCCTCCCGGATATCAGATACGTCTTAAAACCTGTAGAGGACACACACACACACACACACACACACACACACACACACAGTGACCATCAAGTCCCAGCAGCGTTTGTCCAGAGCAGTTTGGTTCATTGTACACTGACCTGAGTTGACAGCGTTCGAATGAATTCATCAATCAACTCTGAGCAAACACATGGTGTGTGAAGAAAGACACTTACACCAACACAAAGCAAATGTGTCGAGTGCACACTGTACACTTTTGTCACGACAGAGACAACATTTGCAGATTGCAGATGGTATTTTCCACAAAAGGGGAAAAAATAATTATAAACATAAATAAAACAATCAAAAAATTAAATAAAGACAATGTTAGACTTGTTGTATAGCTCTCAATAAACATTCTATAAACAGAAGAAAATATATATTAATTTTTTTATATATAATAGCCACCTGGGTTAAATGGTTGAGCTTGATGAAATACAACTAACACTACACACTGTGAGCATGTCAACATATTCTGTTACACCAAATACACAAAATAATGATCTTTAAAAAAGCATCATATGACCCCTTTAAGATGTATTCCTGGTCAGCTGGTAAAAGGCATCCAAATGATGTCACTTCCTGGCTGTCATAATATGATCTAAGGTCATATTATACAACCTGACAAGCAATAACCAAAAAGGACAGTCAGATATACTGTGTTATCATGATCTACTCAGGCTTTTAAAAACCACATGATTTGTTTGGGAAATAAGCCAATACAATCAAGACTTACTCAACCCTGGTTAAAAGCTGGTTTAGCTGGTCTCTCAAATAAATAACTGCCCACAACCCCACTAAAACCAGCTAACCAGACTACCTTGACCAGTGCAAGACTGGCATCAGGGTATATAAAAACACATTACTTAACATGATCATTTGTTGATTTCTCCATACATCAGCAGCAGCTCAGTCTGTCTCTGAAGTAATCAGACATTCAGCTGAGAAAGTGAAATGAATTCACAGTCGCTGTAATGATGAAACATCCTCACAGTCACTCTATCAAACACCAGCTGAACGCATCTATTTTCTGCAAGGAAGCTGGAAATACAAATAAAAATCCACAGGGAAGCTTGATGGAGGAAGAGAAAATAAGAAGCACCGACTGTGAGAGGTCAAGTGTTTTATAGCCACAACTAAAAGAGTCACTTTACACCAAAATACTGCCAGCTTGAGCCAGACAGCTTCGGCTGACAGCAGAGGAACTAAAAACATCTGCGCCAATGTTAAGCGTCTGTGTTCCCATCCTCACGCACGTAATTCACCTGTCAGCAAACAGCAGAGGAGCTCTGGCAGGAGATACATGAGCTGGCGCGGACCAACAGATCTGGCATAAAGTCACTGTGCCGCTCCATATGGGGCCTGGCGTAAAACGCTCTTAAAACTTCATGAATGTTTAACGAGGTTCGAAAACGGGGATTTCAATTTGGCCACTTCACCAAGATGACAACTTTGAAAAAACAAACCCTTGGTGGAAAACAAGTGCTGGGATTTATTAGCTTATTACCTTTCCAATGTATTCACTAACTATGGGCTTCTCCATATACTGAGGCAAAAAAATAAGGATTATTAGTTCAATACAATCAATTTGCATATTTCAATGGCCTACCTGATGACCTAGGTAATAATGGTGACCTGATGACTTAGGTCAGTGGTTCTCAAACTGGGGTACGTGAGATGACGGAGGGGGGTACGCAAACAAAATTCTGAGTTTTGGCATTTATTTAATTCTACCCCAACTTGAAGTAACATTAAAGCCGAACATGTATTTCTGACAAGCAAAATGCCGCTTCTAATGTAAAAAAAGGAAAATGGGAGTGCCGTAAACAGTCAAATACATGATATCCAATCAGCTTACCTCATCTTTTGCGGTCAAAACTGACGGCATCCACACAAGCAGCGTGCATGTGATAGGATGTTCAAATGTCAACATTGGCTACCAGAAATCGCTTACCCCACCTTTAATAGCATGAAGAGCAAATATTGTCACAGACTGAGATCGATTTAAACCCTCTGTTCAACAAAAAAGGTCATATTAAGCGAACATTTTACATTTTAAATGTAGCCTACATTTTAAACAGAATATTGTCATGTTTGTTCTATTTTGCAATGAAATAATAGTCCCGAAATCCGTATCATCTGGTGTGCATCTCCAAGCAACATACAGCGGTGTTTCATTAGTGAACGAATCTGCGACTTTGAACGATTTGGAGAGTCAGTGATTAATAACCCATTTATAACTACAGCATTTTGCTTCGTTACTGAATGAATGAATGATGCGACGCCTGGCTCATTAAGACAGTGACTTGCCGCCACCTATTGTTGGTTTTATTTTAAATCTACAAGTATCACTTCGATACACCCCCCAGCTCTTAATGCATTGTGTTGCATTCTTGAGCATCAGTACACCTTATATAATAGTGATGTATGAGTCCCCCAATTGTCCTCCATGTGAAAAGATGGATCTCAAAATCATACAGTCACTGTTAGAAAGGGTTCAAATATGCAGAAGATGCTGGAAAACCAAAGAATGTGCAGGAGCTGGAGGATTTTTCTGAAGAACAGCAGGCAGTTGAACTGCTCAGGACCAACAAGGAACTCATGAACAACTATCACAAAATATAAAAACAGTCGTGGATCATCCAGGAAATGACACACAGTATTAAGATTCAAGGGTATGTAAACTTTTTGAACGGGGTCATTTTTATAATTTCAGTTATTATTTTGTCTTGTGGAGAATAAACATCTGTTATGTGAAATAGCTTATTCAGGACAGTATTACATAAACAATAACATGCCATTTTCATGAGCCCTCTTATTTTGTTAAAATTATTAACATTTTGCATATTCTTCAAGGGGCATGTAAATTTATGAGCAAGACTGTACATACATATATATATATACACACATATATATATGTGTGTGTGTGTGTATCAACTGTCAGGTAGAACTGAAGACAGACAGACAGACAGACAGACAGATAGATAGATAGATAGATAGATAGATGACAGACAGACAGACAGACAGTTAATATATAAGTAAGGAATGGTAGATCAGTCAGCACTGGCTCTGTATCTTAGCCACTTTAAACATTTTTCCTATGCAGGGGCTATTTTTAGAAAAGGCCAAAGAGCAGAAAAACACTAAGGATCGCTAATGTGTCACCCTTTCACCAAAGCGATCAAAACAAGCGGAGCTGTGAGCAGACTTCCTCTTCTCTCAGGGACACGACGTCGTGAACGAGCCACAAAGAAACGCTCGACTCTCTGAATGAGTGACAAGGCCAGAGCTGCAGCGCACACATCTTAAAACATGCATGAGACTTTCCTGAAGCCGTCGAGAAGCGTCTGGCTCGTATTTTACCCCAAAATCAAAAGCAAAAAACATAAATATTGTATTATGCCATCAAAACAAAGCATATAATAATCTTAATGGTTCTAAAAATAGGCTTCATTTTCTTTATGCGACTGAATATTAGGGTGAAAAATGACCCGGACGTTTCTTCATGAGATTTACTCCTTCAGCTCTCTTCACACTCTGCCACTCGAGCGTGAGCGCAGAAGAGAAAGGCAATCATGGGAACGAGGAACATCTCAGATCCATCTTCAACCTAATTAACAGACAATAAAGCCTCACCTCCCACAAAAAACTGGCACATAATTAAAAACGTCGGAGCAGGGATGACAAACGGGTCACATCTCCAGACGAACTCCAAACCCTGAGCCAACAAGACAGACAATTCACACCCGGCTCAATGAAAGAGCTCAATCTATGAGCCAGAAACACCAGTGAGTCAAAGGCTTTTACTGCATATGACTGACAGCAGGGGCTCATCATGACAGTCTTTAAGTAGGGCAACATTTGTTATTAAATATTACATAAGAAAAACATATATAAATTATTGTGTGGGTTTTATATAAAATTATTTAATGCGTGTTCTTTCTTCTGTTGCGCTGCTTGTCTATTTTTTCTTCAAAGCACCAACTTAGAATGTCTATTTTGGTTTGATTGCTTGTGTTACATGAAAAAAAAAAATGTTGCCTTAGGCCTACTGATGCAGTAGCCTATTTAATACGGGTGTGGTTCAGGGTGCGGTCTTTATCTCTAACGGGTCGGGTACAGAATTAAATTGGTGCTGGCTGCTGTCGGATAGCGGGTCAGGTGTTCTGTTATGTACTGCGGATGCAGGTTTACCTAACAGGACCCGTGCAGGACCCTGCTTTAAACTGCTTTGCGTCTCTCCGTCAGATAACCTCACGTGCGCGATGCGCCATTTACGGGTATTTCCCTAAACCGACACACAGCTCATATATTTTTCCGCCACGGGGTGAGAACGTAATGATTACGAAAACGATAATTTTTTTTTTGATAATTATTATTTTATTTCAGTTAGTTTTGCAATAACTGTTGTTAGTTTCGTTTCGTTTTAGTTTTTCATTTATTTAGATTTTTTTTTTTTTTTCAGTTTACGAAAATGTTTTTTGACCAATCGTTTTCGTCTTACTTTTAGTTTTCGTTTACGAAAATAACCTTGCACCTTACGAGGGGTTTTGATCCACTCCTCTTTACAGACCCTCTCTAAATCCTTAAGGTTTCTTGGCTGTCATTTGGCAACTCAACAACAAAGTTTCAGCTCCCTCCACATATGTTCTATAGGATTGAGGTCTGGAGACTGGCTAGGCCACTTCATGACCTTAATGTGCTTCTTCTTGAGCCACTCCCCTCCCGTGTAGTTCTGGGCTGATCCCTCACCTTTCTCATGATCATCCTTGCCCCATGAGGCGAGATCTTGCACGGAGCTCCAGACCGAGGGAGATTGACAGCTATTTTGTGTTTCTTCCATTTGCGAATAATCGCACCAACAGTTGTCTCCTTCTCACCAAGCTTCTTGCTGATGGTCTTGTAGCCCATTCTAGCCTTGTGTAGATCTACAATGTTGTCCCTGACATCCTTTGACAGCTCTTTGGTCTTGGCCATCATGGAGAGTTTGGAATC